TAGAATAATGGTAAATTATGTGAACAATAATGTGTTTTTTAAAAAACGAAGCATTAACACATGTTAGACTGCACCCCATAAACACAATCAAGCCTAGAAAAAAAACAGTCAACAACCCCTTTAATGTTTTTATCGTTCATTAGATGATGAAAAAAAGCACTGAAAATGATTCCAACGATATTGTTTCTCTATGTTGTAATCCTTTTATTTTTGTGTGGATGCCACTATTTTCTTAGAGTTAGAAAGTTTTTTTTTTTAACTTTATGGTTATAGTTTTCGTTTTTGGTGTGAATGCACCTTTAGTAATCAGAGTTACTATCTGCCAGAACTAATAAAGACCGATAGAGTTGCAAAATTGTTCTATTTTTAAGAGAACAGAGTTCATATCACAACTAGTGGTCGACCGATATATCGCCAAGGCCGATATATCGGACGATATTTGCCATTTTTCAAATATTGGCATCGGCCGATAAGTTTTTCTGTTTGGCCGATGTGTTCGAGGGGGGACTTTTATTTTTATTTTATTTTTTTATATTTATTTATTTTTCAGAGGGAAAATGCATACAGAGATCAGGACATACATAATTTCTCCGAAATAAAGAAAAAGATAAAAATAAATAAATGAAAACATACATACACCTTAATGTTACTATGGAGAGTATATACAGAGTATGTATGCCCTCAATCTTGAAAACAAATTTCTCAAATGTTACATACGCATTATATTTTCTTCCTCTTAACAACAACTATATACAAAAGAACATGGGGAGCTATTGCTTACAACTCATACAAAAAGATACCTTAAAAGAACAGTTACAATTCAAGAAAAATCTGGGCGTACTGGTTTAATATAATCTATCCATTTATTCCAAACTAGAAAAAAACCTTCTATCTGAGTTCTTAATGAAAAAGATAGTTTTTCCATCACATATATAATGTGTATTGTATCAATCCACTCTTCAACTGTGGGTGTCTCTGGCTTTAGCCATTTTTTAGTAATTACTTTTTTACTAGCCGCCAGAAGAATTAACAACAGTTTCTTATCCTTATTGTTCCACCCATCTAAATTTATATTACCCAAATATAGAGATTCACAATTAAAAACAATTTCTACTTCAAAAACAGCTTCCAGAATCCTTTTAATCTCTTGCCAATATGGGGTTAATTTCTGAGGGGGGACTTTTATTTTAACGGCGCGGCGTACTTTTATTTTGATGGAGCTGAGAACGGCAGCGCCTGAGCACACACCGCTCACAATTTCCCTCCTGTTCACTGTCGTCGTTCAGTTCTGTCTAACATGGATAGAAGTCTATCTAATAATCAGATAGAACTGTTAAACAAAGGAATTAAAATCTATACAAAAAAGTATTATAACGATTGCTTTAATATTATTAGTAATAGAAAGGCAAACATTATAATATTTTCTCGTTTGCGTCAACATTCAGCAAATATGCATTTATATCATTTAAACAAATCTTTGAATGACTAATGAACATTTAATTACCTTGGCTTTATTTGAAAAAATATGATTCCCAGTGCACACAAACCTCCCAGAATACTGAGTGCCCTGTTGGTTACAGTGTTTACTTCCTTTTTGTTATATTTTAATTAAATATTTATTTATTTGTGTCTTCTAAAGTATAAGTATGTTTATTTTACACATTTATTTTTTAATCCATTTTCAAATTATTTCAAATTTCTTAAATATTAATTAAAATAAATAAAATTATATCAACTTTATATCGGCCATCGGCCACCCTGCTTTCCAAGATATCGGCATCGGCTGTCAAAAAACCCATATCGGTCGACTACTAATCACAACTATAACGATAACGGCACAGAGGAGTGATACCTCTGGAATCGCTTTCAGAACTATTTTTTCCCAGCTGTAAATGACAACGTTTTCATTATTGTTATCGTTTTACGTGCAAACGGGCCTTTAGAGCTGATTACTTCACAGACATAACTAATACATACTAAGTGCATCAAACAAAGCTCTTTCAAAGATTTAATGCTAATATCACAATACCAATACAATGAGTGCTTTCGAGTAGTTCTTCCTCAAAAACACTCATTTTATCAACCTAATTTCTGTTTACCACATTACAGCAGCTAAAAATAAACCATGGTTCAATCTGTGGCAGTAGTTCATGTAGGCCTAAGTGTAGAAATGGGTCATACCCATTTCTACACCGACATGAACCACTGCCCGCAGATGGTCCAAAAATGATAAATTGCTGAAAATACACTCCTCAGGCCTTCTAGATGTAGATGAGTTTGTTTCTATATCAGATTTGGAGAAATTTAGCATTACATCACTTGCTCACCAATGGATCCTCTGCAGTGAATGGGTGCCGTCAGAATGAGAGTCCAAACAGCTGATAAAAACACAATAATCCACAAGTAATTCACATTAAGGCATTAATTAAGGCATTTAAGGCATTTTAACTTAAAACTGCTGCTATTAACCAAAATACAAAACTATAATCCACAAGACTGGATTTTAGATGGAAGCAATGGTTTGAAGTTAATAACATCTTAATGATGGATTTGTTTTTTACAAACACGCAGCTTTTGATTCTCAAGACATTAACTGATGGACTGGAGTGGTGTGGATTACTTGTGGATTACTGTGATGTTTTTATCAGCTGTTTGGACTCTCATTCTGACGGCACCCATTCACTGCAGATGATCCATTGGTGAGCAAGTGATGTAATGCTACATTTCTCCAAATCTGTTCCAATGAAGACAAACTCATCTTGGATGGTCTGAGGGTGAGGACATTTTCAGCTAAATTTCATGTTTGGGTGTACTATCCCTTTAATGTTTGGTTGTTGTAATGGATGTTTTAAAGGTACAGTGCATTGCATCCACTTAAACATATTGAATTCATTTTTATTAAGCCAGCTAGGGAGTATATTACAGTGGTTTAGCACTCACCTCTCTGTATGGTAACATGGCAGATGACACAAACCCTGGCCTCTTTATCCAGATATTTCAGTCTGCATTTGCGGTTGCAGCAGTTTGCACAGTACACCTGCAAAGCAGACAACATTATTCACTAAAACACTGGATAAACGCAGTACTTCATCAAACATAAACCTGGAGAAAACTCTCTGGTGTCCTTTAGCCCATTTTATTTATTGGCCCAATATGTCTTGAAAACAGCAGCTCAGTGCAGCAATTCAAGCGGGAAACTATATCAGCGCTAAAAATACATTCTGCTGACGCAGCAAATCCGCCTCTATATTTAGCACCTCCAGAGCAGAATAAACCACACACTGACGTAATAAAAACAAAAGACCTCGCACCATTACATAAAATGAGTACTTTTGCTGTCTAAGGCAGTGGACTACAGGTTTAAGGCTTTCCTGTGGTTATAAATAAACTAGAACACAATGGCACAGACCTTTGCTCGAAATCAACGCAGCCGACTGCATGTTAATTCATTGATTCACACTGCGGTTATTTGCCTTTCACCTCCAAAAGTCAGGGCACACTCAACTACAACAAAGTTACAAAGTCACTTTCAGAACTGAAGCAAACACATTACTGACTCTAATTGTGTTCATTTATGCAAAATAAACCCTGACAGGGTGATAAGGATTCAAATGTAAAAGGGTTTATTTTGAATAATGACTGTCTGACTGTAGATATCTTGCTTATTTTAGGATACTTACGTGATAAAATAACAAATGGACATGAAATATTGATCAGAGTTTAAACTATTTTGTTATGTGAGAAGAAAGAGTACAAAGTAATATAGCAAGTAAATCACCTCCCTGGGACAATAAAATAAAATAAAATACAATTTGGGGTCGTTAAGTTTTTTTTTTTAAATGTACAATATATTTGTGTTAGATTTTTCATAATAATGTATAGGTAAAATCGCTCAGTTCAGTTTGTATCATGCTGCTGTGGTCACAGGTTCGGTTCAATAAATACTTAATATGCATGCACTAATTAGATTGATTTGAGACCGATATATACAGTATATAACCAATATTGTAACAATTCTGTTTTATTAACATTCCGTTTTTTTTTTTTTTTTTAAAGAGGCCCTTTTACCAGACGTTTACAAACATCCATGTTTATATACATTCAGCCATATAGTGCAGTAAAATACATCATAAAGCCAATGCAGCTAATTATTATTATTATAATGTATTATATCAAATTATTAAATATATAATTACTAAAGTTAAAAATTTTATGTTAACGTTAATGTAAAGTCAATGTTTTTGAAAGAAGACTCTTCTGCTCAAGACTGAATTTATTTGATCAAAAATACAGTAAAAACAGTAATACTGTGAAATATTACTACAATTTAAAATATCTATTCAGGAGAAATTTGAATGTTTTAAAACGTAATTTATTCTTGTGATCAAAGCTGAATTTTCAGCATCATTACTCCAGTCTTCAGTGTCACATGATGCTTCAGAAACCATTCTAATATGCTGATTTGCTGCTAAATAAACATGTATTATTATTTGCTGAAAACAATTATTTCAGTGGAAAACATGATACATTTTATTTTTCAGGATTCTTTGATTAATAGAAAAGGACAACATTCATTTGAAACAAATCTTTTATAACTTTATGGTCACTTCTGATCAATTTAATGCATCCTTGCAGAATAAAACTATTAATTTCTTTTTTTTTAATTAATCGTAAGACCCCAAACTATTTAATATCTTCCAAATAATTGTGGGTACTGACACTGAGAGACAACAAACTCACCTTCCCACATGCTCTGCAATGGTGTCTCCTCTTGGTAAAGGTAAACTTTTGCTCACAATTCATGCAGTTAGGAGCCTCGGAGTCTGGCACCCAAGGAGGCTGCTTTGACCCCAGACCCTCGACCTCGTGTCCTGGTGGATCAGGACTCTCTCCTGGGTATGGTGGAGGCTCTGAAAGCTCATCATGGCCGTAACTGGCATCATATTGCTGATAAGAAGGGGGTTCACAGTTATTTTCATCTTGGTTGGGAGAAACTTGCGAGCCATTCTCTGCAGAAAGGCCTGGCACATCGGGTTCAGCATAGCCGGTCCGGTGTCTTTCAGATGGAGGCCGTGCGGTTTGGTTGGACAACTGCTTTGGTCTCGCCCCACCGTAATTTGACTCTTGGTTAGGGGTGCAAACTGACTGAATCTCAACAGGGCTGGTTGCATTTTCATGGCTAATTGTTTGTGTGGCGTCTGTCCTCAGCGGGCTGCTGTCCTGAGATGAAGAAGAAACGTTCGAACCTTCGCTCTCTTCCAGATACTGAAGAGAACCATCGCTCTCAGGAGAAGCAAACGTCTCAACTTTGCAGCTCTGCAGTTCCTCATCTAAAAAGCCTTCCACGTTTCCGTTAAATTCTGAAAAGCCGTCATCTACGAATTTGTCTGCGCCTGCGTCGGAGTTGATTTTCACATCCTGACCCATCAGAAAGGCGTCCAGCTCCTCGTCCGTAACCATCATCACAGTCTGGTCGCTTTCAGGAAGGTAATCGTTGGTGATACTGAACTCGTAGGAATAATTTGGGCTTTCTGAATAGGGCGGAGATGGGTTGCTTTCACACAACTCTTTCTCTGTCAGCGACAAGTTGTGCTTAAAGTTTCTTTCAGGGTAATGGCCTGAGATAGCAGTCACCCTTTCTGTGTTCGACATGATTTGGACTAGCTCAGGTTCATCTTCAGGTGAGGAATCAGGCCTATTGGAGGAGAACGGTGTTGTGGGTTCTTCTAACGGAAGAATGAACTCTTCAGCCTCTTGAATCGCTGAATTTTTTTCCAGTTCAGCCTCATCTTTGGTTTCAATCACTGCTGTCTGTGGGTCTAAAGACGCCACAAGGGATCCACACATAGATACGGCCATTGGCAAGCAAGATAGAGAAGCTTCCTTCTCCAGGGAGGGACTTCCAGCTGAATCCTCTGGATTTTTGACACTGAGATCTTCAGACAGTTGGGTATCTGTTGAGTCCGGCTGCAGCGATACAGCATGCTCTTCACTGGTTGCTGAAACAGCTTCATTTGTAGCATGAGGATCTGAATTACTAACATCTTCCTCGTTTACTGAGACTTCGCATGGAGAACTGTTCTGATCATTGGCGTTTGAGTCTTCAGGACGAGAACTTTCAATCCGATTGCACTCCAAAGGTGTGATGCTACTTAAACCATGAGGGTCACCAACGGCTGGTAATATGACATCTAGCAGGCTGAATGAGTTATAGCTAATCTCGGAGTCATGTTTTGGTAATTCACCGGCGTTAGAAGCATCTTCGGGAGTAGATACTACAGGACTCTCAAAGTCCACTAGCAGCACCTCATTAGTTTGTTTCTCAGGAACGTCCAGTTCTTTAAAGTCCTCCTGACTGTCAGCCTGCTGGAGGTTTGCAGAACCCGTATCATTCACCAGGTCACACACAGGCTTTAGGGAGCGGTCCGGACAAGGAGGAGCCGAACTTTTGATACCTCTGCTATCAACGGAGGACAGGAGGTCCACATCTGTGAGTGGCCGTTCATTTGAATAAGAATCTTTTTGGTTTAAGGTAATACTTTGTGATGCAAGTCCATAGTGCAGGGCATTGACATCTGGGAGTGTTTGCGAGACCGTGTGTTGCTCTGGTATGAAGCTCTGAAGGTCCAAATGGTGACCTGGGACAATCGTGGCGTCCGGACAAGTAGGGCTTGTAAAAGTGGCGGGCTTGTTCTCAAGCTCCTCTAAAAATAAAGAAAAACATCATATTAATTTATAATGTAGCTAACATGAAAGCATCAGCCATAATAAAACAACTAAAATAAATGTTATGATATGATAAAACTGACATAAAATGATAAGATCAGACAACATACATAGGATATACAGTGGGTACGGAAAGTATTCAGACCCCCTTAAATTTTTCACTCTTTGTTATATTGCAGCCATTTGCTAAAATCATTTAAGTTAATTTTTTCTTGAATGGGCCAGCCAGAGCCCTGACTTAAACCCAGTTGAGCATCTCTGGAGAGACCTAAAAATGGCTGTCCACCAACGTTTACCGTCCAACCTGACAGAACTGGAGAGGATTTGCAAGGAGGAATGGCAGAGGATCCCCAAATCCAGGTGTGAATAACTTGTTGCATCTTTCCCAAAAAGACTCATGGCTGTATTAGATCAAAAGGGTGCTTCTACTAAATACTGAGCATTTTTCAGTTTTTCTTTTTTAATAAATCTGCAAAGATGTCAACAATTCTGTGTTTTTCTGTCAATATGGGGTGCTGTGTGTACATTAATGAGGAAAAAAAAAAAACTTAAATGATTTTAGCAAATGGCTGCAATATAACAAAGAGTGAAAAATTTAAGGGGGTCTGAATACTTTCCGTACCCACTGTATATTGTTGCACATATTATATATTATGAATAACACATCATATATGAGATTTGTCCAGTCAAAAGTTTGAAATAAAGATTTTGAAAGAAGTCTCTTATGCTCACCAAGGCATTTATTTGATTAAAACATATAGAAAATATTGTGAAAATATTATTGTAATTTAAAAGAACTGTTTTATATTTAAATATATTTTTAAAATGTAATTTATTCCTGTGATACAAAGCTGAATTTTTAGCATTATTACTTCAGTCTTTAGTGTCACATGATCCTTCAGAAATCATTCTAATATGCTGATTTGTTGCTCAAGAAACATTTCTTATTATTATCAATACTAAAAACAGTTTTGATGCTTCATATTTTTGTGGAAACCATGACACAGTAGTGTTCAAAGGTTTGGGGTAAGTACGATTTAAAATAAAATAAAAAATACAAAAAATGTTACTAAAAATTTATATTTCAAATAAATGCTGTTCTTTTGAACTTTCCAATCAAATAATCCTGAAAAATAAAATTAACATTGTTTCCATGAAAATATGAAGCAGCAAAACGCTTTTCAACATAGATAAAATTAAGAACAATTATTAATAATTGAGCACCAATTAGTAACTAATAATAATTTAGCAGCAAATCAGCATATTTCTGAATGATCATGTGACACTCAAGACTAAAGTAATGATGCTGATAATTCAGCTTTGCCATCAAAATAATTAATTTGATTCAAAATTCAAAAACTACCAACATATACATATGTTGGCTACCAACTACATACATAAACTATAGGATACATACACATTATACAGAACGTATGATCAATTAAATGAATGGCAAAAGTGGTTGAATTTACATCAATTCACCCTAGAGGAATTGTGTCCTCACCAATTGAGAAGTGCAAAATTAATATTTGTAATACTACAATATCAGTAAAGCAAAAGTCTCAAACCTGCATTGAGTTCAAAGTCATCCAAAAGCTTGTCCAGGTCACACACAGCAGCCTTAAAATAACTGTCCATCCTAGGACGGGGTACGATACACCTCACTTACCCCTGCAGAGAAACTGGGGCAGTTGGGACAGAAAGTTACAAATCACACATTTTTTACAAATATAACATTTCTATGTCTTAGGAATCTAACTAGGGAATACTTGGTAGTTACTGACAGTAATAGACAAAATAATAAGAATCAAAGAGACAAGCTGTTCTCAATGATTTAGTACAAATAAGTAAAAAGTGGGGACAAATATATATGGCTATTATTTAATACGGAAGATTTGTATAATTGTAAGATTGATTATTTTCAACATCTGAATTCACAGTAACGGTTTTGGATGTTTACTTTGCTGTGATTTATTGTGAAGTGAAAAGTGGAAGTGTGATTTCACCAGGTCTGCAGTGCAAATCAAAGATTTGACAAAGAACACATTGTATATAGCAATACATTTTAAACAATAAACTATGAATACTAACACAATATACTAAATTAATTCACTCAGACTATGGTAACTATCTAGGATTCCTCTGTCATGACTCATGAGCTATGATATCAATCTTTGTTTCGAAAGGGCTGTTAATTATTCATCTAAATGAACCGGATAACGTTTACTTAGTGCTTATTAGTCCTATTATTTTCAATATTAATAATAACAATATTTATCTAAGATAAAGTCTCTAATTACCCATATTAATATAATTTGCCTGCTCACTGCACTGTCAGAAACTAATAAAGCACACCATTCAAACCGTTTCAGCACACAATAATAAAGCTTTCGTAACGTCAACCCCAAAATATCAAAAATAAACAATAAGTTAACTTACTATTTTCATAAAGTTATATTAGCTGTTCAGTTATCATTAGCAATCTGCTAACTAGCTTCTAGCTGTTAGCGTCTAATCACACACAAACATAAATACAACCCAGGTGGCTGGAATATTATTTTTTATGATATCATTCCACTCCATTAGCTACCTTAATATGTGTCATTGTTCAGTCGTCTTCGTTTGTTGGCTGTATTCAGATGAAATGTTAGTGTATTTCACTGTTAGCAGCTAGCTAATGCTTTCTTTTTCCTCAGTTGACTGCACGAGCGACCATTTCCACCCGGCGCGAGACTCGCTGTTTAAAGGGGACGCGCACAATTTTTGACAGCGTCATATTAATTTTCGACAGGAATAATAATTAAAAAAAAGAGTCAGTAAGGGACTGAAGTACAGCGTGTTCAATGACTGTATTGCTGTTTAACAACTCCGTCTGTTAGGAGAGGAAGAAGAAAAAAAAACTTCCATGAGACAAAAACTGCATACAACAGTTTTGAAAGTTGTGGCTTAGCTAAAATCACGTGATCTTACGTGAGCCTTTATACAGTGCGTACCATTGTAAAGACCATTAAGTCATTCATTCCCTCACAGCCTCGTTTATCCGCGTTAATTCAGTGCGGCTGCTAACTTGAGGAAGACCTTAAGTTATAATTTAACTTAAGTTATAAAAAACATTCTGAGTGTTCACAGAACGTTCAAAACGTCTATTTTTTAAAAATGTTTTTTCTTGTTTATGTGAACGCTACAGAAAACATTAAGGGAACTCCAACAAAAAAATATGTTCTAAGAACGTTTTCTAATATTCAAAATTATATTTCTGAATGTCGTCTGAAATGTCTAGTTTTTTAAATATTTTAAAAGTTTTGTTTTTATTGGTTATGCTAATGTTAAAAGAACATTTCATCATTTTGCAAACATTCGAGAACGTTACTTTTGAATGTTCTCTATACATTCTTAGACAAACGTCCAACTAAAACATTCAAAACAAACAAAAAAAAACATTCCATGAACAATGTATAGGCTAAATGTTTTTGTGTTAACGTATTGAGAAGATTATTAAAAACCAGACAACTTTATATGAACATTTGTTCATAATGTTCATACCATTCTGTTCTCTCCAAAGGTCTGTTCCCTGTTATAGCTGGCCTGGGATGTTAATATTTAATCAGTTTTGTGTGTGTGTGTGTGTGTGTGTGTTTATTCCTACAGCAACACAAATACTCAGAACATTTAAAATTAAAAGTTAGTCCTTAGGATTATTCAGCTGTTACTGAAAGAGCTCCTATTCATTAATTATTGCCATGAGAAGATGAGGTGGACCATAAAAAGACATAATAGTTTGCAAATCAGTTATGCAACTCAATACCATGTGTGTGTTTTAGCAGTGTGACATAAGAAGGGTGTTGTAAATGTTTATTACAGATCATATTTTAAAATCATATATCATATGATTTTTACAGATCATATTAAGTAGCCTAACTAATCTTCCTCTTCAGCTCGAGAAATAGTTTTGTTTTCACCTGAAAAACACTACATCCTTGTTTTAAAGCAGGTACTGAGCCTATTTCCACATATTCTTCCTTTAAATGCTTCTTTAGTTCCTCAACTTACTGAATGAAAACTGCTTTCCATGTGTCAACTGAAAGTCTCTTTGCCTTTTCAAGTTTTATCGAAAGATGTTTGGAAATGAATCACACTGACAGCACATGAAGAGATAACTCTTGTTTACACAGTAAACACAGTAAAAACAGCATGCTGTTTTCCCCAGCAAATAATGTAGAGTAAGCAAGATGTGACTGCACAATACTGATGATTTGCAAATATGTCAATCACAGAAATTTAGGTCAGGGAAGACATCACCATTGTAGATTGAAGACGGCATGAGGAACAGCATCCACAACATGAAACTCTCCAGATATCCACCTTCTGATTTGAATATAAATGACATCTTTATAGTGAAGAGGAAGCACAAACTCTTCCTGTGGTGAGTCACGTGTGTGATTTATTCAAAATATATCTTATTAAATATTGTTAATATCCCCAATGTGCACTTTCATAACTACTTTAGTTTTAAAATTACTTCAGTAATGTATTATATTACTCTATTATGTAAACCAATATATTACTCTTCAAAAAATGTAGCCTGTATACATTTGTATATTGTATACTGTATACAACCTGAGAGTCAGTTTCAGTCAATGTCGTCATTGCTCTTACAGCCTGTGAGAAGAAGAAGAAGAAGAAAGAAGAAGTTTCTAATGAATTATGACAGCAGGTCAATATTTTATTTCCCTCTTCAGGTAAAGTCTTCAAGTCTCTGCTGACGTCACGCGCAGGGATAGGCTGCGTCACGTGGTACAACTTTCCAAACCTGTGTGTGTTTCCCGAAAAAAATGTAGAGGAACAAAAACCACTTTGATGGTGGAAAAGGTAAGACGAAACCATCCTTAAAGTGTATTATTTAATCTTTACGTATAATACCCTTATATATTAAAACTAAGCCGCATTTCGAAAGATGTGATCGTTGTTGTTTTATTATAAACACATCTGTCTGTCAGTGCTGTTGTTGTCATGTCGTTTAGTTCCAGTTTGCTAACCGTTCTTTTGCTTTATATTTGACATATGTCTTAAATAAAGCAGAGCTCTTAGTTTTGAGAGTAGATCTACGCACTATTGAGGATAAATAACCATCATTTAAACTTCGCTGACCTGTTGATCCCGCAGTGTTTTTCTTAAGCGCGCTTTGTTTCGGTTTAGCATGAAATGTTTGAATAGATTCATTGTAGAATTTTAAATGGCGCGAACATGTTGTATTATTCATTACTGGTAATTAGTTACATTGTTGAATTACTGCCAGCAATCCACAAAAAACGACTAGCTTGTACTATGGTATTTATGTATCACATATGGTCAAAAAGCATAGCATTACTTTTGGTACCTTTTAGTACTTTGTTTAGTGTCATATGATGTAGATACAGGTATTTTTGGCTCTTCGTGAATGTGTTGATTGCTTTTATTAATATATAACATTCTTCTTATTATTGTCTGTCTTTCAGGCCTTTGGATTCACATACATCAAATGAAGTTTTACACACTGAACTCAAGGCCAATGTAAGTCTTGCACAGTGTCTGCGTGTGAAAGGTATTCTATAAAAATGTCTTGTTTTTTTCTCATTCGTAATACTTTTCTCTTGTTGTTTCATTAGGTTAACTATGCGTAAGGAAGAATGTAACATGGAGATTGTTGTTTTCTTTATTTTATGCTGTTGACGCAGTGTTAGTAGTCTGTGATTACCCAATCAGACGTCTAGTTCTTGAACAGGCATGTTCATTTCTGTCTCTGTGGTTGTCTTGATTCTGTCTGTGTCGTAAATTATTCAGTCGTATCTCCTGTGGGTTTAGAGTTAACGCTCTTGCAAGTGGATGATGGGTTACTGTTTCAGTCGCTGCTATGTTCAAGTTACAAAGTTGGACCGCCTGACCTGGGGAGCACCTGTGTCCGAGAACATATATTGTACATAGATCAATATAAATATTTATCTCACATGTCTTTGGAATACTTGGTCAATTGTAGCATTACATAGTCAAATATTTTTGCATAATTATGCTAAAGTGTATAATTGTCCCACATAGCAGTTCTAGTTTCTGTCATTAACTGATGACCCAAAAAAGCAAAAAACATATTTAATAACAAACAGTGTTTGATTGGATGCACTTCCTTTGACGTCAACAACAAAGGTTATGGGAATTAGGAGTTCCTCCTATTTAAAAGTTAATAAAGCTACTTATTTGTTATATTTGCAAAACTAAAATGAAACGCAGATGCTTGACCAACTGTAGAGTAGGCTTGACTCGATCCAAATCTTAAATTTAAGGAGAAAGTGCAATGCTCACTCTACAAGCTAAGCTTAATTATAGTCATTTGCATTGTTCACAACAGACCTTTGACCAATTTTTGGGTCACAAACCACCAGTTGAGAACCACTACTCTACAAGAACTAAAACCAGTTTCCTAGATCTTTTCCTAAACCTTTTTACTTCATGTTCCTTTAAGGATAATTGCATATTCTGGAGGAGATGCCATTCGTCATTGTCTATAATAGCGGTTCTCGACTGGTTTTGCTTCAGGGCCCAGATTTCACATTGCATCAACTAATGACCCAAAATGAACCATAATTGATGGAGAAGTAAGCAAAAATGTATTCACTATCAAACAGTGTTTGCACTTCCATTAACATCAACAACAAAGGTATCGGGAATCAGGAACCTACTTCTATTTAAAAGTTGTTAAGACTACTTATTTGTTTTAACTTTGCAAAATAGACGAAAATAAAAGACATGCGCAACCAAGAGTAGAAGAAGTTTTAGAATTCTCACATTTTAGAATAAAACTGTGACTCTCACTCTCTACAAACTAGTCATTTGCAATGTTCAAAACAGACTTCTGATTCCCGGTTCCTACCGCGACCCGTACGGCGGATCCGGAGGCAGTTATAACTCACGTAAAGAGCGTGAAGCAATGCTGTTGGGCAACCCTGTGGAGTCCGTTGACGGCCGTACGGTGCACACTGCTTTGACATACGGCGAAAAAGTCGAGGAATACAACCAGCGCTACGCCTACATGAAGTCTTGGGCTGGACTTTTACGTATTCTTGGTTGCGTCGAGCTGCTTCTTGGAGCAGCGATTTTTGCATGCGTTTGTGCTTACATTCATAAAGACAATGAGTGGTATAACATGTTTGGATACTCGCAGCCTGGTGGGGCTTACGGAGGAGGTTACGGAAGTTACGGAGGTTATGGAGGCGGTTATGGCAACGCCAACTACACCGGACCAAAGACGCCGTTCATCCTTGTGGTGGCGGGATTGGCGTGGATAGTGACTGTTATCATGCTTGTCTTGGGAATGACCATGTACTATCGAACTATCCTTCTGGACTCAAATTGGTGGCCTTTAACGGAGTTCTTCATAAACCTGGCTCTTGCGCTCTTGTTTTTGGCGGCTGGTTGCGTGTACGTAAATGACACTATTCGAGGTGGACTCTGCTACTATCAGTACTTCAATAATGGCATCAATGGCGCTTTCTGTCGCACTGAGGCTGGGCAGACGGCCGCTATAATTTTCCTGTTCTTCACCATGATCGTGTACTTGGTCGGAGCCATAGTGTGTCTAAAACTGTGGCGGCACGAAGCGGCTCGACGACTACGAGAACGTAATGGGCAGGAGGTGAGATTTTTATATTTTGGTTTCTATTTCTGTTGCATATTATATTCTAAAACAGTGTCATTTTAGTATCAAGATGCTATTCTAGTTTTTTTATTCTTATTTTGAATGTTCTTATTGTGTTTTATTTTTTATTTTCATTTTCCTTAAAGTTTTAGTAAGTTTTCTTTGTGTTCTTGTCATTTTTATTAGTTTTATTTTATACGTCTGTATAGTTTTTACATTCAATTTTAAGATTTAATTTTGTACATCAAGTTAAACTAAATGAAAATGTGAAACTTTGCTTTGGCAACTAGCTGAAATAAAAAAAAAGTGTTTTATTTTATTATGAAAATAAATTATATTTTATTTTGCTTCAGTTAAAAGTTTATTCTACTTCAAGTAACATTTTTTTTATGTTTTAGATTTAGTTAACTATAATAATATTGTAAATAAAAACTAAACAAAACAAAATATTTTTCAGATGGGCTGTAATTTTGTGACATTGTACACCATTTTTGCTTGTGTGAACAGAAAATTGCTGTAGTATTATGTCGTACCTAGTTAATCATGATGTATCATTGCCAGTATCTTCATATCTTCATTTGGTATAATTAAATATAGTTGCAAAAATGAATACAACAATAATTGAATCAACTCCGCTTCTGCTTTATAGATGCAGCCAAGAGATTCTCCTTCTGCTGTGCATTTGGCAAGTATTTTGGCTCTGTCTGTTCTCATGTTTACCCATGGTGCATTGCCATCTGCTAAAAAATTTGGATGTATAGCATTTCTAGTTGAAATTAATAATTCTGGTTATGTAATATAAGTGTTTGTTGCCCAGATTAACAAGCAGACATTTCCATTGCATATTTCTCTACTAGTTTAATGTTTTGCATATAGCCTTTAAGGGCATACTGGAAACCAATTTGGCGACTAATATAACAAAATATAATTCATACATTTCAATGCATCTTAATCCAGAGTTATTCCTGAGGTAATTTACTTCATTCATTTGCCTTCATCCATGTTCGACAGCCAAACAAAGATGAGTTTACCTGTTCAGTGATGTTTAATATCCTATCAACAACCTTTGTAGTCCCATTTAGCCGCTTATTAGCCTTTTTCAAGACAAGTAAAACGGCTATTACTGATGTAACCACAGACATAATTTCAGAGATTTAATCAAAAACCCATTGACTTCAGGACGATGGAACCAGAAGTGCTAAAATGCAACTTGTTTCTGGGTTTTGGCCCACAAAAATACACCATTCCTCCAGCACTCTATTAATAATCAAAACTAAGGTGGGCGGGGCTTAGCGAAGGGTCAGTATGTGATATAGTCAGAGAATATTGCTAGTAATTTTGTATCCTTCTCTTCACTCTAATAGGTTGTTGATGGTTCAAGGGAGCCGATGGCAGTCTCCGCGCCGGTACAGCACACACACACTGCCGCCCCTGCCGTCGCCAAGCCCAAAGTTGTGAAAGGGCATATTCCAGCTGGACACGCTCCTAAACCTGTGATCATGCCGGACTACATCGCGTAAGTATTTGCTTCACAATCTAAAAAAAGATAACTCATTTCCGTGACCATGAGATGCTTTTGCTCTCTGATTAAGCTCACCCCTGTGTTTTGTCTTTCCCTGCAGTAAATATCCAGCTATCCGAACAGACGAGCAGCGGGATCAGTATAAAGCCGTGTTTAATGACCAGTATTCTGAGTATAAAGAGCTGCATGTAGAAGTTCAAGCGATTCTGAAGAAGTTTGATGAAATGGATGTGATGATGCAGAATTTACCGCAAAATCCCACCAGCCATATGGTCAGTCGAAATTTGCTATTACTGTACACTTTAGTCTGTCCTTTGTGACTTGTAAAAGAATTTCATCAAGCACAAATCCATGTCGCTGTATGTGTTTTGGAAAAACTAATTTTTAATCCTAGTCTTTGCAGTATGTTTCCTAAATGTTCCTTGTTGGACACTAGAAGAACGGATGTTTTGATGCCTCAGCTTGAGAACTTATGGGAATTTTCTATTTTTAAAGATACTGCAATTTATCAAATGTTTGAAAACAGTGTTAGCTTGATAAATGTCACAGGAATGACTTGAAGCAAAGGATTTGATCATATTTTGAATGTTATCAAAAAAATAACTTTTTTTGGTAACACTTTACAATAAGGTCACATTAGTTAACATGAACTAACAATAAAAAATACTTCTAAAGCATTTATTAATTTTAGTTAATGTTAATTTCAACATTTACTAATACATTGCTTCCTAAATCTAGTTAAATCTGGTCTGATAAACCTGGCATTGCATGTTGTGAATATTGTTGGCTTTTGCTTTTGTTCTTTTTTCGAAAGTCGCTTTGGATAAAAGTGTCTGTTAAATGCATAAATGTAAATAATGTATTTCAGAAGAATAATGCTAGTATAATTCTAAAAAAAAATCTGTTAAATGCATAAATGTAAATAATGTATTTCAGAAGAATAATTCTAGTATAATTCTAAAAAGAAATCTCTCATTTTTGATTGTAGGAGCGTGATCGCATCAACAAAATCCTGCAGGAATATCAGAGGAAGAAGATGGTGAGTTATTGGAATCCATTTGACTAGTAAACATACTGACCGTAAAACTGTATTGTGCATTATTTAATTAATGTTTTTATTTAATTTGATTATTATTATTATTTTACCTTCAAAGAAATAATTGACCTGATTTTTTTTTTTTTGAACATGCCATTCTGTCACTTGCAGCATCATACATAAGCTACATGTGAAAACAATGTGATTTTGTTCATCATACGTTTGTTTTAGGGGTTTAATGTTACAAAATATTCCACATTCACAATCATAAGGGTCACATCACTATTCTTACAGTTCAAATTAAACCATGCACAAGTGTACACGTGACAAGCTTAAATGTTGGCAATTTGATTATACATACATCTACAAAAAGTGTAGTACTCTCAGCTTAGTTTAACAGATATTACTATATTGAAATCCTTTTCCCAAGAAAATCAGCCTTGAGAATCAGTCTTGAGATTCTGTCTGGGCTTTACAGGCCAGTAGGTTTTGTCTGGCTGATTTATAACGTTGTGAAGCGTGAGTGGTGAAAGAAAGGAAGGAGGATGAGGAAGGGGGGAGGCTGATTTTCCCACAGGATTTGCCCCATTGTGTCTTTTCAAGAGGAGGAAATAACTGTAGTCACTCACCATCGGTGGCTCCTCTATAAAGACAGTTTGAGCCATATTTTGAGTGATAGCACAGGAGGTCGTCACACAGTCAAGACACACGGTTTTGTTTCTGTGATTTTCTAGAACCTCAGATGAGCTGCATTAAAGGATTAGTTCACCAAAAAATTAAAATAGGCTAAAAATGTGCTCACCCTCAGGCAACCAAAGATGTAGATGAGTTTGTTTCTTCATCAGATTTGGAGAAATGTAGCATTGCATCAGTGTCTCAGCAATGGATGCTCTGCAGTGAATGGGTGCCGTCAGAATGAGAGTCCAAACAGCTGATAAAAGCATCACAATAATCCACAAGTAATCCACACCACTCCAGTCCATCAGTTAATGCCTTGTGAAGCCAAAAGCTGTGTGATTGTAAGAAACAAATCCATCATTAAGACTTTTTAGCTTCAAACCATTGTTTCCAGCTAAAATACGAGTCCTCTATCCATAATACTGCTTTCTCCAAAGAAAAAGTTGTCTCATCTGAATCAGGATAGAAATCTGCACAAATCAAGCACCATGAGAGGACAACAGGGGATGGACTTTTTCAATGGACGAAGCGTTATTATGGATCATTAACTCGTATTTTGGCAACGACTTGAAGTTAAAAACATCTTAATGATGGATTTGTTTCTTATAAACACAGCTTTTCACTTCACAAGACGTTAACTGATGGACTGGAGTGGTGTGGATTATTGTGATGTTTTTATCAGCTGTTTGGACTCTCATTCTGACGGCACCCATTCACTGCAGAGCATCCATTGCTGAGACAGTGATGGAATGCTACATTTCTCCAAATCTGTTCAGATGAAGAAACAAACTCATCTACATCTTGGAGGCCTGAGGTTGAGTAAATTTTCATTTTTGGATGAACTATTCCTTTAAAGACTAGTTGCTCAGTTTGGTAAAACCAATTTTAATTACTGTGTATGCGGCCATTGAGAGGATATTTAGTTCTCCCGCTTCATGGTCTCATTTATGTCTATGATGGTGTTTTTGTCCCTAGGATCCTTCATTTTTGGAGAAGAAGGAAAGATGTGAATACTTGAAGAACAAACTCTCGCACATCAAGCAGAGGATTCACGAGTACGACAAAGTCATGGGCTGGAACGATGGTTACGGCTGAAACGGGCAGCACTAGATTCAAACCTGCTGTGATGGTCCTTCATTTTCACGCCAGGACATCGTATTACACTGAACATGTGACCACTGTATTTGCAGAGCCATGCTGGTCTGGATTTATATTACAAACAGTAATCCAATGAGGGATCGATAACTTGCATGCTCTTAATGTACACGCTGAGTCTTGAGCACTGACTGAAAATACTTTTTTATTTTATATTTCATAATGCTGACTAAAAGTGCATGAATGTTTAAAGAAATACTCTGTGTTGTCTGTGTATGTATGCAGAACTGCTGTTTTTTTTTTTTTTTACTGAAGTTTATTTTAATGATTGTATGCACGGTTCAATTCATTTTTCTGCTACTGTGTATTTGATCTGAACAACAGCCTTGTCCTTATATATTCAGTGTTGTATATGCATTTTGACAAGTTGATAGGTGATTTATATGCAAATAATGTAAAGAGTGAAAAGTCAAAGCATTTCAAGCTAATTTGTTGTAATTGAGAACATTTTTGAATAAAAAAAGTCCGGCCAGGAGGCACTTCAGACACAACAGAGCAACTATACAACCTCAAAAAAATTATACATATATTTATGGGTTAAGAAATGCAATGTTTTCTTCCATTTGATTGGTTAAATTCACTTCTCTTCTAAGCATCCCTATTGTTCCCTTACTGTCTAGACTACTGAATCAGACTAGTTTTAGCATACGCTTCCATTTCCCTCTATGGCTGATTGCAACATAAACATAAAAAGCTTACTTTCATTACCACTCTTTTAAAGAAAATATTTAATTCTCCATCTCTATCAATTCCATCAAACCTCCATTTCCACCACAAACCACAGCATCCGTTTGCAAAGTGCAATTATATTGGAATTAAAAAAAAATTATGCAAATATAACATTTGTGACATTTTAGCTACATGTTCTCACTATCCACAAACCACAGCATCCGTTTGCAAAGTGCAATTATATTGGAATAAAAAAAAAATTATGCAAATATAACATTTGTGACATTTTAGCTACATGTTCTCACTAAGCGGGGAACCATTTTGGATTTTAAGATCAAGTTTGTAGAGTAGATTTTTGCGTAAGCAAGTTTAAAATTAAAATAATGTCTTCACCATAGAAATCTCACCACACCTCTGCTAACCTGCGTGTTTCTTATCGCAGACTCACTCTTTTATCTGTAACGTGTCTGTATCTTGATACCAGACGGTCTCTCTTTATGGCTGTGTTTCAAAATCTACTATGCTGCCTATCTAGACAGCATTTTTAGGTAGGATACCGTATATAATAATAAGGCAGCATTATAAACGTAGAGTTATAAACTCATGGTATCAGTCTTGGGCACATGAAGCTGTCTAGTTAGGAAACTCGTTAGAATTTGAGACACTCTGTGTGTGTGTGTGTGTGTGTGTGTGTGTGTGTGTGTGGGCGGGGTCTAATCATCTATAGGGCAGGTTGTCTCACCTGTCCTGAACAGTGACACAGTGAACGTCAGTGCGCGAGAGCAACTCCGCAAACAGGTGAGACTGAAACTACAAAATATAGAATATTATGTAATTAAAATTATAGTAGCCTATATAACAGCGCTTTATATCTGCGTTAATTAGATATAAGATCATTGATGCCGACGATCACTGAGATTTAGGCTACTTCAGAAACAACTCAATCGCGTTTAGTTAGTGAAGAGTCTCAGAATCTGGCGCTCTCATAGTGTGTTTCTCTTAAATATTAAAATAGTACTTTTTTACACCGTGTGTTTTACCCACTAATTGTCAATTTTGTTTATTTTCCGCTCAGTCGTAATGACGATTGACGTTTAGTTGATAATAGTGAAAATAGATAAAGTTTTATTAGTTTTATACTTGGTGTATTTAAAAATATTCCTGTTTTTGTGTCTTTTCAGAATGTCTTCGAGGCCGCACGAGAGTCCTCCGCCCTATGATTATCATACAGAGAATGGATAGTAAGTGTTGAGTTTCACCTCAGTGTTTCTCTGGATTGTGTTACATGGGTTTAGTTTTTTTTTAAACCTCTTGTGCCTTTGTTTTTATAGTGAGGAATTGAACTGCACAGTCGGAATTAACTGTAAATATTAAATAAATAAAGGGCTATGGATGATTATTGGGAAGCTATGTTTGGTATCGGCCAATTTTTTTTCTTTTTTTCTCGGTTGATTAGGCTGCTATTGGATTTTACCTTTTTCTTTTATATTTACTTTTCCTGTGACAAGTTTCAAAAGTACTGGCAATGCACTGAAACTGATAGCTCATAATTGTATATCATGTATGTGTGTGTATATATATATATATATATATATCATATTTTTGTATATGTATGTTTTGCCTGTTTTTAAACGATATACCATTGACACTAGCACACGTTAAATGTGACCCTGAACCATAAAACCAGTCATAAGGGTCAATTTTTTAAAATTGAGATTTATACATCTGAAAGTTGAATAAATAAGCTTTCCATTGATGTATGGTTTGTTATGATACTACAATATTTGGTCGAGATACAACTATTTGAAAATCTGGAATCTGAGGGTGCAAAGAAATCTAAATACTGAGAAAATCGCCTTTAAAGTTGTCCAAATGAAGTTCTTAGCAATGCATATTAGATCTGTACTTAATATCCTAATGATTTTTGGCATAAAAGAAAAATCAATAATTTTGACCCATACAGTGTATTGTTGGCTATTGCTACAAATATACCCCAGCGACTTAAGACTGCTTTTGTGCTCCAGGGTCACATATGAAATGATACAATACTATATTGAATATAAAAAGTCTGATAGTGCTTTTGAAATCTGGTATTGTTTGAAATGGAAAAACAAAGGTCTAAAAAAATGAAAAGAGCCAAAGAAGAAGAAAAAAAATGATGATATTGATAAACTCATTGATATCTTGCATTAGTGTGAATATTTATGTAGTGTGAATGTTTCAAGTTAATATATATATATTATATATATAATAAGTTATATTGGTATAAGGCAAAATGTATTGTTGTGTCCTTAAAAGAATGTTTTATTTAATTGACCTCAACAATTTCTCTCCAAAAAAATAAACTAACAATGATACAGATATTCACTAATATCTTTCATCCCTACTTAAATCGTCTAAAAGATTTGAACTTTAGTGTGATTTGTTTTTTGTTTATATGTATATGTTTGCATATAGTCAGAATGTGTTGTGTCCCTAAAATCGGTTTTCCCCATTTTCTCTCCAGTAATGTTGCCCCGCAGCCTGCGTATTCGTACTATCCTGACGACGAGTTCCAGCATTTCTACCGCTGGACGTCTCCGCCGGGCATCATAAAGATCATGTGCGTCATGTCGGTCATCTTCTGCGTGGGCATCTTCGTGTGCGTGGCCTCGACTCTGGCCTGGGACACGGATGCAGGAGCGGCTGGATTCGGTGGTTACGGAGGTTCTTACGGAGGCTCATACGGTGGCTCATACGGTGGCTACGGGGGAACCGGCTACGGGGGAACCGGCTACGGAATGGGTGGATACGGAGGCTATGGTTACGGGATCCTCGGCTCTCAGAACGACCCCAGGCAGGGCAAGGGTTTCATGATCGCCATGGCCATCATCACCTTCATCGTCCTGCTCGTCATCTTCATCATGATCATCTCGCACCAGAAAGTGGCTCAGGGAAGGAAGTTCTACCTGGCCGTCATCATCGTCAGCGCCATCATGGCTTTCCTCATGTTAGTTGCCACCATAGTCTATCTGGTGACGGTTTACCCAATGGCCCAGTCGTCCGGATCGGTTCAGTTCAATCAGGTTTACGCCATGTGCGCCGCTTACCAGCAGCCTCAGATGACTGGTGGGTTCGTGAACCAGTATCTGTATCACTACTGCGTGGTGGATCCTCAGGAGGTGAGCACAGCGTTGTAAATCATGCCCGATTTAAGTCGTTGTGCACTAATAGTGAGCTTATTCTGTCTTCATCCAGGCAATCGCTCTTGTTTTGGGCTTCATTGTCACCGCGGCCCTCATCATCATCATGGTTTTTGCCATTAAAACCCGTCAAAGGATCAATAATCATGGGAAGGACAACATCCTGTGGCGCCGCGTGAAAGAAATGAATGATCAAAACTCGCCGCAGGATGTAGAGGATTGGGTGAGTATGATATTATTGTTCTTTGCATTGCTAGCTGAAGTACAGTCAAACCAAAATGTATTCAGACACCTTCAACATTTCTCACATTATCACAGTTTATTCGGGTCGCTGTGATTTTTGCCAAGTAAGATCAACATTACTGTCCAAAAATATAGACTTAACCCAATCCCTACCCCTAAACCTAACCCTACCCATAATTTATTCCTAAAATCAGTGGGACATGATAGCTGATTAACAAGGGTGTAGAAGCACCTAACCCAGATCGTAAGCCTAAAACTGACATTTCCTGAAAAACTATCCCTCAATTCTGATTGGAATGTTGTTCCAGGATAAACAAGGATGTTGATCCAGGAACATGTTGTACTTCACGTTCACCGTTTATTCGCTATAGTTTAGAAAATGGTTATAAAATATGACAAGAACTCGAGAGTTAAACTGTGTCCGAACAAATTCATCTTGATAATGTCAGATAACTTTGATAGAAAGGTATGTAACAAAACATGGTCAGGTCAAAGTGTCAAATCAGATTTTTAGTCCCAAATTTTTACTGGTAGTCCACTGTATGAAGAGTTTTTGGGTATAATGCGTCACAGTTTCTACTTGACTTGATTGCAGACGTTTGTATTTTGGCAAATCTGAGCACAGTTTGAGACACTGGTGAGATCTCTTGTGAAACTCTAGAGGAGACACATGTGAGGTTGATATACGGGGCTAGATTCTCAAGAGGAAAAACCTGAGGAAATATCAGGAATATTGTGATCTCCAGCCTTAGAAAAGTCATTGAAATTCTTACAATTAGTAATGAATGAATTATAAATAAATGGGTCAAAGACGAAAAAGCATAAAAACAATGTGTAATACTGCTTTAAATTGTTGTCGTTTTTCCCCCAAAAAATGTAAAATATTTTCTGTTTAATTTAATTGCAATTTTGTTTTTCGGAGTAAAAAATAAATATCATACGTTTTTCCCTGATTTATAGAAGAGACCCACTAAAATGTCATTCAGTGTAACAATCTTGTCAGGCATATTTACAACAAAAATCAATTGATGACATATTAAAAGACTAATTACTTTGACCCCAAATACTAATTAGTTGTTATTTTACATTTTTAAAATTTGCCTCTATCCTAGGTTTTGCCCATTTGTCAGTAAGAATTTTTTACTCATTTAAAACACAATAAAATTTAATATGCTCCTTTATTCTTTTATATATTTTAATGTGTAAGTCAGAATAAGCATG